CCTGTATAAGTCCCCAGAATGTCTGAATTGCAGTTATTGATTGAATTTGGCCCAATAGTGAACTGACTTTAAATATATGCTGCTGTAGTTTGTGGTTGAAACATCAGTAATTCGTGTGTGGGGTAGGTGGTAATTCAGACTGCTTGATTAACTTTAGCCCATGCTGTTTAGGTTAACATAGAAGTGAGTCCCCCCCAGAGAACGCAGACTGGCCCGTCTGTTTACAGCTCTCTTCCTAGTTCTGGGATCTCAAGACTTCCAAACCTTTGATCCAACTTGGAGCCCCTAATTCTGGCTTTGCCTAGTCAGGTCGGAAACTTGCTTCTTGTCTGTAATTCTCCTCTCTACTCTTTGGATTGCCAGATAAAACGCAAAAAAATAGTTGAATTATGTGTTAGATAAATATATCCCCAACATGGCAAGGGACATGTTTGTTACTAATGAAAAAAAAGTTCTTTTTATGCAAAGTTCAAGTGTAACTGAGTGTTCTGTATTTTTTGTTGGCTGAATCTGCCAGGCCTTTTCCCTACTTGAAGTTCCCGTAAATTGAATATACCGCATGAGAATTTCTCTGAGAATTCCAAATGTTGTTCTGTTAAAAACCAGTGAGTGAAGTTGCTGCATTTATTTTCACTAGTGAGATAATTGTATCTGAAAAATGCTCTAAATATCGTTGTCTAACTAAAATATCTTAATTAAGATATAAACTGATAGGCCGGCGCCGCAGCTCACTAAGCTAATCCTCCGCCTAGCGGCGCCGGCACACCGGGTTCTAGTCCCGGTCGGGGCGCCGGATTCTGTCCCGGTTGCCCCTCTTCCAGGACAGCTCTCTGCTGTGGCCAGGGAGTGCAGTGGAGGATGGCCCAAGTGCTTGGGCCCTGCACCCCATGGGAGACCAAGAGAAGCACCTGGCTCCTGCCTTCAGATCAGCGCGGTGCACCGGCCGCGGCTGCCATTGGAGGGTGAACCAACAGCAAAGGGAGACCTTTCTCTCTGTCTCTCTCTCTCACTAACTCTGCCTGTAAAAAAAAAAAAAAAAAAATATATATATATATATATATATATATATATAAATAACCGATAGACCATTTACAACCAGAGCCCTACATTGTAATAGAGGTATGAAGAATTCCAGCAATGTATGTTGCTAATCTAGTTTGTACTTTGTCCAAATATTTTAAAATAATGTACAGTTTTGAAAATTAAGCATTTCAGTTTTTTCCATTTTCAAGTCATCAATTATAAAACAAAGATGACTTACTTTCAATGAAGGGCCATACATTCAGAAACAAAATTTAAGTATTGTACAGCGGGCATAAATTCAAATATTTTAACAGCAAAATACCCCCAAAAAAAAGGTTTTTCCCCCTGTTGTGTTATGATTGTGCTGCCACCTTGTGAGCGTTTTGAGATATTACCCCAAATAACAGACCATATGACCATTCTGCCAATGTTATTAAAATGACTCCTCACACAAATTAGTTCTTTTCATTTTACAAAAAAAAAAAAAAAGGCTATATATGCTAGTACCAAGAAAATAGTGTCAAGTATGAAATGCAAACATTTTCTGCATTTGTCTGCAAATGAGCGTGCCATTCCTGAGAGAAACCCTGAAGTAGAAGTCGTTGAGTGCTCCGTGAATTCCTGCTCTGAGTGAATGTAGTTCTGTCTGCATGCCAGTTTGGTTAATGTGACCCTTCAACCTGAACTCCCCATAAGCTTTGAGAGCTCGGTGTTTCCAAAATTCAACTTTTTTTCCCTCGACTAAGAGTGACCCGTGTTCTCTTTCTCTGTATACCAAGATAATAGGATTTACCTTTTAAGCCAGGGTACAGATTTGGAAGTCTTCCAATTCCATTCATTTATATGGTGATCATCATTTTTTTTAAGTTTACCTAAAATATTAGTCATGTACATCTTTTAAAATTAAAATTTTCCACTTCCAAGTCATTTGACATGAATGGGAGTGCCTTGGTGATGACGACAGCAGAACGCCTATACACAAGGCTGTCTTAGGCAAACTGGTCACTTACAAAGTTCAGGATCCTCAAACTTGGAAGCTTGGCGTTCTCAACTCCTGGCCCGTGGAACTCGCTTGTCTGCGTCTTGGGCTTCCTACCTTCCTCCTGGCTGCTTGTTTTCTTTCCTTTTCACTTCTCACTCCATTGCCCTTCGTGCTTCCAACATCTTCAATGTCCCTGTCCTGTTGCCTGCCAAGGGAGCCACTAGACAAATCCTTTTCATGAGGAATCTATCCAGTTCCTGTGCACTTGCTCCACCTGCTGGGGCTGCTGGGAACTGCTGAGAGAAACTCCTTTAACACTGCACAGTGGGGCAAACTAGGTGGCCCAGTCTCAGATCAGCAGGACCTTTACCGCTGCATCCTAAGCCTCCCTGACCCATACTAAAAGAGGAACCTTCTGTCGCATTCTGCCCTGGCCTGCACCACACAGTCTCTCTTATCCTAGCCATAGAGGAATTTTGTAGACTCTCCTTGCCCTCGAGAGTCTGAGGTTGAGCTCATCCTCTGAGCTCTGCATCCCCTCTCTGCCAGTCTTCATGGGGAAATCCCTGCTGGTTAGGTCTCCTCCCTCTTCATCTTCAACCCCTGCTGCTCCGGTTCTGTCTTCCTGCTGGCTCTCGGTCAGGGTCACAGCGCTTTCGTCTTAACGTATAAAACTTTCCCTGACCTCGCACACACTCCACCTATAGCCCTTGTCCTTACCCAAGTTCGTGGTCTGCCCCTTCACCCTCGCCTCATTTCACCCTCTGCTCGCTGAAATGCGCTTCCCCCTCCATCTGCACGGCAGTGCTGGCTGCCAGCACCATCCAAGCCTTGTTTTGTTTTTTCTCTTAATCTCGGGGACCTTGTTTCCTGCACAGTCGTCTGTACCCTTGGCTTGGTGACATCACATTCCCTGAACTGCGGAGTTGTGGGTTACTCCAGCTCAGCAGAAGCCCACCTGCCCCTTGGCCGTCTGAACTCCGAGGGCTTCTGCCCGAGACACTCTGCCCTGAGCTCAGCCTTGCCCCGTGCACTGCCACCTGCCCTCACGGACCACCCCCTCCAGCGTGCTCTAGGCTCCCAGACCTGCTCATCAACCCAGACTTTGCCCAGAGAGGCCAAGCCACCTCTGCTAGCAGGTGTCGCAAGCATCTCAAACTCCATGAGTCCCAAAGGAACTCTTGTTCTTTCTCCTGAATCTGAACCTCCACATATTTTATCAAGAGAGTAAATAGCACTGTTTTCTCTCCACTTAGTTTCCAAAAACTAAGGAAACGGGAGTGTCGCTCCCCCTCTTCACGGAGGAATGACACAGGACCCTGTGCTGTTCTTTTGTCTGCTCGGCCCTTCCCGGGTTTGCTGCTGGTTCTTCCCGGGTTGGCTACCGTCCCTTCCACCTCCGTGGAAGGGCGGTTCCCCCTGCCACTTTCCCCACTTCCGCGGGGGAGCGGCACACCACCAGCCAGCTCTCTCGGGGGCTGCTCAGGTGTTCCTTCAGATAGATATTCCTGGTGCATGTTGTCTCTCTCCTCCTTTATAGTCCTCTCCACCAATCCCAACTCTGCTACCCACGTGCCGAGCACGCTGCTCTCCTCCAATCAGGAGCAGGTCCTGCTGCTTATTGGTTGAACTGGAGGCAGCTGTGTAGAAGCTGTTTCCTCCTCTCCCAGCGCCATATTGTGGGAGAGCATATGCATAGAATAAGTCTTAATTCCAGTAACAGTCTAGTCCGAGTTGCTCCCTACAGGGAGAATCGCCCTGTGGATTCTGTCCCATAAATAGCTCTTCCCTCTTTTCTGTCCCCAGGAGCATGAATCCTCCTGCTCCACATCAACTTCTCTTGCCTGGATTCCTGCAAACCTTACCCATAGGTCTCTGTGTCTCCAGCCTTGTTCCTGTCTAAGGCATTCGCTCACACTGAAGCTAGAGTGATCTTTCTCCAGAGTAAGAGCTTATAGCTCTGCAGTGCTTTCCACGGTCTGCAATTCTCAGCGACCTGACTCTGGCTCAACTTTCCAGCATCACCAGAAATTGCCCAACATTCCAGGACTAAGTGACCCCAGAAGTCAAGGTCATAACACAGACAATGGAAATAGGTCAACAGGAATTCTAAGGATTAGATATGTCAGATCCAGACTGTATGTGACTCATGCTTTAGAAATTAGATACCAAGATTCAGAATTCTTTTTAAAAATTTTATTTATTTACTTGAGAGGCAGAGATAGGCAGAGATAGGCAGAGGGAGAGACGAGAGAGAGGTCTTCTATCTGCTGGTTCACTCTCCAGATGGCTGCAAAGGCTGGAGCTGGGCTGATCTGAAGCCAGGAGCCAGAAGCTTCTTCTGGGTCTCCCACGCGGGTGCAGGGGCCCAAGGACTTGGGCCATCTTCTACTGCTTTCCCAGGCCATAGCAGAGAGCTGGATCTAAGGAGCAGCCAGAACTCAAACTGGCACCCATATGCAATGCTGGCACTGAAGACAGATGCTTAACCTACTACACCACAGCGCCGGCTCCCAAGATAAAGTGGAAGTTGCAAGAAATGATTAAAATGGAAATTCTAGAACTAAAAAAATAAAACATAATGAATTAAGAATTCAATATGAGTTTGGCAAAGTTTAAATGTACTGAAGAGATGGTTAGTAAATGGAAAATAGGTCTGAAAACTTAACTAGACTGAAACTTGGGAGAAAATGCAAGATATGGGAATGATGAGGAAGTGATAAGGCATGGGATAGACACTGGCGTCTTGGAGGGAAAAACAGAAACCATCTCAGGAATGGTGACTTGTGACTGCCCAGTAAGTCACCGATTCAGAAAGTACTACAATTCCCCAACAGGATAAATACCCAAAGAAAAAACCTCCTACCCAGGCCATGGCATTGGAAAACTGCTGCCAAAAACAGAATATTAAAAGCTTCCAGAAACAAGAGACTTGAGATAGACCAAGAAGAACCACAATACCAAGTTGGAAAATCTGTTTTTCTCTCCGCTGTAGGGAATGCCGGGAATCAGCGAGTGAGCTTGTCTGTGTCCCGGGCAGCTCTTATCTGCTTTCTGTGACAGCACACTTGGAGCCTGGAGAGTTTGCCGTTGTGCCCAGCTCCCTGGAGACCCTGGCAGGGGACACACATTCGTGGTAACTCAGTGCCTGTAATCTGTTTTCAGATGTGGTATGGGCCCTGGGCCATCCAGAGAACATTCCAGAAGCAGTGTAGGCAGTGTATATCCACCTTTCTCCATATTTAATGTTATTGTAAATTACAAAGAAGAAATGGATCGTTGAGAGATTTGATTATTGTAGGGTATTAGGCAATGTTACAGCTATGTAAGTCCCTGAAAAGCAGGTCTTGGTAACCAAAGTAGATATAAAGTTATCACAACGACTATAACAACTTAAATCTCTTCCCAGACGTGCCCACGAGCCTGCTCCTCTAATTCTGCATGCAGGTTCTTTGCTTAGGCAGGATTTCCACGTCCTCCTTCCGCCGGGGAAACATGGCTCTTACCAGGACATTAATGACACACTAGCTCCAGCTTCACTCCCATTGTCTCTCTAGCTTGAATTTGTCGCATCTTTCTCCGTTCTTTAATATTGTCCTTATTCCATCCTTACTTCACACCCTTTTGCATGTCTTGTATTGCGATTAATTATTGAAATGTCTTTCACTAATTTATGGAGTCTCTGTTCATAGGGTTTTAGAATCTCTCTTCGGAGCCGCTGGGTTCTGAGTTGAAAGGTTGGGTTTGCAATCAAGAGCTGAAAGGACCCAGTCTGTTCCAACATCCCGCCCACTGTAAAATCCCTGGCGAGATACATTGGCAGATGCCTGTGGAGCCGCTGTAACACCTGCTGTGGCGTGAGCACCATGGATTCCAAACAATGAAATGATTTTCACTTTTAGATGACTTGTTAGGAAGTTTTTTTTTTTTTCTGTCATTGTGCAAAATCAGCTTCTCAGCCTCTATCCATTTGCAGTTCTGCCCAGAGATGATACATGGAACACATTTAGGATTTTCACTATATTTGGGCAATTTTTCAGTGGAAATGTTATCTTTTTCCATAAAACCTTGTCATTTTCAACCCATCCCTCCAAATCCTGTAGATGATTTTATTTCTTCTTGCTTGCAAGCCACATTGTAATTACTCTCGGTATTAGCTTTATAGCCCTATTAAAGGCTTTCAGCTTTGAAACTCTGAGACTAAAAACAAGACGCTCATTTGTATTAGCATCGCTTGAGAGCAAACTTCTTGGCTGATTGTGCTAACAGAATTATAGAAACAAGTAAGCCAATGTCCTTGTCACCGGAAAGGCCTCCTTCTACTAAACAAATAGCTGGTACTCCAGAGAAATAGAAGATAATTGTCAGTGCAGAATTGAAGTGTTTGTTTAAAAAACAGAAGGCACTGATCATCTCTACTCTCCGTTGTCCGTATGTCATTATTATTATTATTACTACCGTATTTCATGACACATTATTACTATGCCATGTTAATCTTCAAAGAGCAGAGTAAGAAGAGAATTGCACCACCATTCAATATTTGTATCCTCAGAGTGATAGGTAGTAGCGAAAATAGCAAAAATCTAGCTTTGGTGTAACAGTTACCGTGAGAGGCGATGTCTTAGCAACCCCAGAGTAAAACAAAATAGCTTGAGATATGAACCTTAAATGGAAGTATCAATTTATTGCAACTGGTGTAAAGCGAGATGTGATGTGCATCTACCTTACGATACATTGTTGGTGCTCCCTTCCACCCGTCCTTGCGTGCACCACAATGACCGTATCCACGCTAAGGAGGGGAGGCAGACAGTATGTGGCTCCGGCATCAAACTCTCTTAATCCTAATGGTGACGGCGTGGTTACAAATCTGTGACTGTCCCCTCCAGCGGATGGGGAAGAGGGTCCCCCAAGGATGAGGCATCTGCTCTACGGGCATGCCAGAGTGTCTGTTCTTTGAAATTCTGAATTTCTTTGCAGTTCCTTTATAGATCTGTGTAATCGTAAATAAAGCATTTGTTCCAACCTACTACAAGAAGCAGGCATTTCAGTATCCTGCTCTTAAAGCAGACATCTACTTGGGCTCATGGGGCCTATTATCATCAACATTTTAGTTGGTGGTTAATTCAGCCTATTATGCAAAACTATGGGACAGGATGGATTTAGTATTAAATATAGTAAAAATCAGTTCTTTCCTTGCCTGTTGGATTTATGTGATACAACATTCCTGCGGTGTGTGGGTGAACAGGACAGGAAACTTCAGTTTGAAAGGACAGTAAAGGCCTTCTTCTTTGCCCTGATACACAGTTGAAAAATAGCAAAGCACACGCAGAATGTCGCACGCACTGTGTGCAGGCTGAGGTTGCGATGGTTGGGCTTGATGCTCTCCAATGCTTGCAGGCCTTTAATCTCCGATGCAGCACAGCTCTCTAATCAGACATGGAGTTTCTGCCGCACCTCCTGGACCGTCATCACTGGCAATCCGAGCTACACATTAGTTCCTTAAGGACCCCTAAGATGGGTCCCTCAGATCCAGCTGTATGTAGGTTGCCCTAATTGTTCTAAGAGTTCCGTAGCCTAAACCAAACATTGAGGAAGGGGCTTTAAAAGCAATCTCCTTCAGTTGCATTGACTGGTTTGTAATTGTTTGGCTACTTAATGATTTTCAAAACCTCTTTATTGTGTATACTCTTTAAATCAGAGTTTACATTTTACTAACTTAGTACTTTCCCGGCACTGGTGGAGAATTTATGCACAGGAGTAAATTTGATTCTTCATATCAAATATAGTACATAGGAATTGAAAACTTGTTCAACAAAATTCTAAAGTTTGTAATACCATATTCTATTCTAAAAATACATTTCTACATAATCAAAAAGTGGATTTATACTTAACTTTTTTTTATAGAAATAACATCATATATACAGTGCTATATTTGAAGAGTCTTGCAGAAACCTATTGTATCCATGTTCATAAAGTTTAAATTTATTTCACTTATTTTAGAGCTTGAACTATTGGCCAGGCAGGACCTAAGTTTAAGTCCCAACGGAGGTTTTTACCATGTACCCTTTGTGTGCTTTCAACAGTTCACTTAAATCCCAAGTTTCATTACTTGTGATACAATAGAGTAATTCATAGAGGTCTCATAGTGTCTGTAGTTTTGAGACTATCCAAATATATTTAAAACACTATTGAAACCATTGAAAACTTTGTTAATCTGTTATCATCTCCATAAAATACTCAGGGGAATTGAGGTAAATTTTTATAACAGCCAGGATTGGGCCAAGCCAAAGCCAGGAGCAAGAAACTCAGACTAGGCCTCCCAGACAGGTGTCACAGTCTCCAGTACCTGGGCCATCACCGCTGCCTCCCAGGGTGCGGTAGTAGGGAGCCGGATTGGAAGCTGAGCAGGTAACTGTCTCCACGAGCTGAAGGATAGGAAGAGCGTCATGGCATCCCAACCAGCATATTTTTTTTAATGAGTAAATGTTCCTATAGTGATGGTACTTTTTTTTACAAAAAAAATTTATTTACCTTATTTAAAAGTCAGAGTTACATAGAGAAGGAGAGGCAGAGAGAGGTATTCCTTCCACTGGTTCACTCCCCATTTGGCTGCAACGGCCGGAGCTGCACCAATCCAAAATCAGGAGCTTCTTCCAGGTGCCCCATGGTGATGCAGGGGTCCAAGGCCCTGGGCCATCTTCCACTACCTTACCAGGCCACAGCAGAGAGCTGGATCGGAAGTGGAGCAGCTAGCACTCAAACCGGCACCCATATGGGATGCTGGCACTGCAGGCGGTGGCTTTACCCATTGCGCCACAGCACCAGGCCCCCAACCAGCATCATAATCACTCTGTCAAATCCGTATTTCAAGACTCCAAGATTATAATTCCTAAAAAAAAAAAAAAATAGCTGTATCTGAAAGGCAGTGTGACAGATTGGAAGTGAGACAGAGGTATCTTCCATCTGCTGACTCACTCCCAATCTCAACAGCCAGGGCTGGGCCAGGCCGAAGCCTAGAGCCTGAAACTCCATCCACGTCTCCCACATGGACAGCAGGGGCCCAAGAACCAGGCCATCTTCTGCTGCCTTCCAGGAAGCTGGATTGGAAGCAGAGCAGCCGGGACTTGAACTGGCACTTCGGTGTGGGATTCGAGCTTCGGAAACAGTGACTCAACCTGCTGAGCCCCAAGGCTGTACCTTTCCACTAAGTACTGCTTTATTGCACCCCAGGAATTTCAATATGTGTCCTCATTTTCATACAGTTCAACATTAGTTTTAATGACCCTTTTGGTTTCTTTGATCCTTGGATTACTTAGAATCTTTTCATTTAGTTTCCAGCCAAGTAGAGAGATTCCACATTTTCATTGATTTCTGACAATTCTGTAGTCAGGGAATAATACGTTGTACATGCTTGAGTAAATTCTACATTTATAGAAAATGGCTTTATGGAAGCCGGTGTTGTGGCATAACTGGTTAAGTATGTACCTGCAGTGTTGGCATCTCATATGGGTGCCGGTTAGAGTCCTGCCTGCTTCACTTCCAGTTCCAGCTCCCTGCTAATGTGCCTGGGAAAATATCGAAGGATGGGCAAACTCCTTGGGCTCCTGCATCCACGTAGGAGCCCAGGACGAAGCTCCTGGTTCCTGGCTTTGGCCTGGCCCAGCCCTGGCTGTTGCGGCCGTTGGAGAGTGAACCAGTGGATGGAAAATCTCTCTGTTCGCACACACACACCCCCCTCCAGCCCCTGTAACTCTGCCTTTCAAATAAATGAAATAAATCTTTTACAAGAATTGCTTTCTGGCCCAAAATACAGTAAATGGTTAGTATGCATTTGAGAAGAATGTATATTTGGTTCTTGTTGAGTCGAATGTTGTATAAACACCCATTTGGAGAGACTGTTAGTATTCAGGCTTTGTGCACACTCACTGATTTTCATATCTACTCGTTGTCAGTTATTGATAAAGAGGTCTTCTAATCTCTCCTAGAGTTCTATCAATTTTTGCTTCATGCTGTTTGCACCACTTTTTGGAGAACACGTTTTTAAGGCTGTAATTCGGTTCTTTTGGTGATTTGACCCTTTCTCATCATGAAGTAGTCTTTGTTGGTGATTTTTGTTCTGAAATCTACTTTGTCTCA